TTAGTAAAATCAAAGATATCAAAGTTTTTAATAAAAACTTTGATATCTGCGCTACTGTTTTTTGCTTTTAATAATAGAAATAAAAATCTGTAATATTGAGATAAGTTCAAAAAAATGAAACATAAAAATTGATTTATATTCTATGACAAATTATATAAAGTTTTAAACATAACCAAAACGTACAAAGTAGCTTTAGGTATCGTTTAAAAATATATAAAAGTATATAAAATACAATTTATATATATATATATATATATATATATATATATATATATATATATATATATATATATATATATATATGTATGTATATATATAAATATATATATATATATATTTATATATATGTATATATATATACACACACACACACACACACACACACATATATATATATATATATATATATATATATATATATATATATATATATATATATATATATATATATATATATATATATATATATATATATATATATATATATATATATGATTTTTTTCAAAATTTTTTTATTTTTCAGTTGCTGTATGTTGTTTGACATGCAGTACAATATTTAACAATAAATTAGAATAGTGCATATTGCAAATAATGGACAGTTTTTTAAAAGGAAAGAAACCTGAATTTCTTCAAGAAAATATGATGGGTAGTTTTTTTTTTTTTTTTATTTATTTTTGTTTGTTTTTTCCCAAAATGTAATAAAAAAACACACCAAAAAAACAACAACTTTTAATTAGTTTTTTAAAAGCAAAAGTATTTATAATATGGTGAGGGATACTTAAATGGTAAATTAAAATTTGTATTAAAATGTAATTTTTTAATGTTAGAAATATTATTAAAAATATATATAAATTCATAAGTTGCATATATGAATATTAATTGACAAAACCAAACCAAACAAAACCCATATACATTTTAAAACAAATGTATAAAAGGTTTAAATAACATAATATACAAAGATTCCAGGTTTAGCCCTTTGTTGTTCATAACTATATTAAAAACTTTTTAAAAGAATTTAGTCTCATTGGACAAAAATCTTGGTATTGATTATGTAGACTTATGTATTGTAAATTATTTGCTATAATAAAAGGTTGCTTAAGAAATATATTGGATTACTATGCATTATAGGTTTTGTTTTAAATGTAACGAATATGTAAAATGCAATAGAAGTAAAAGGAAATATTGTGAAGAAATATTACGTAATAAATATTACTAGATTATTTATATGGTATATATAAAATATATACATGTACAGCAAGGTGTGTTTAAAATAAAAATCCCATAAAAGCAAATTAAAATTTTTGGAATGTGTTATTAATAAAAGAAAAATTAAATAAAAATAATTTACCATAAGTTAAAGAAGAATAAAATCATTAAAAAATTCGAAAGTTGGTTTCATTACTGAAACCAACTTTTTAATGGCTCAGTCAATTTGTTGAAACTTTATATTCTAAGTTTAATAACTTCAATTTTTTATTAAATTAATAAATTCAAAATCAACTTGATCTTTACATATGTGTAGAAACTAGGTCGAGTAGAACATCTTTACACAATTTTTGAAAGTTTATGATGGATACTCTTTATTTCTATTCCTAATTCAATTCTAACAATCTTCATCATTTCCAGATACACTATATGTTATATCCATCAAAGATGATTTAAATAGTGCAATAAGAAAGAAACGATTCAATAGTTCCCCAAATACACATAAGGAAAAGACCAACATGCCAGATTTTATCAAGTCTGTAATGTTTAAAAAAAGCTTTACTTTTGAATCTTTAAAAAAAAAAAAAAAAACTGATAGTTAGAAGTGTAGTAAAATGTGTAAAAAAAACACTAAGATCCAAAAATGAAACAGCCTAATTTAAATTAATGCAAGTAAGTCTAGTAAATTATGGAAAAGATAAGATTCAACAATATAAAAAAAAACAACAATTAAGTGGCAACGATGCTTTTTTTATGTGTAATACATTTTTGGTACTATTGTCATGATTTTCAACTCTATAAAACTGATTAAAACCAAGATTTTTAATAAAGGAGTCCTGTTAAATAATGATCATAGGGGTTTAAATTTTGTGGTTAAAGAGTAAAATTTGTATTAATCTTAAATTCATAATCTAAAATTCATATCTTTTATTACAGTATTAGCATCTTTATATGTTGTATATGTGCACAGATTTTCCAATTTAAAGTATTAAATTTGCAAAAAAAGTTTTTCTAGTAGAATTTAAAAAAAGAAAAAAAAATTGAAGAAGAATCTTGTTGCTTTCAGCGCATGCTTGGATGTATCGTCCGAATGGTTGCTGAAATGTTCAAGCCAAATACAACGGAATAGTTACAATTAAGTAATATGAGTGCTCTTTAAAAGTTAACAAGTGAAATAAACAAATGAACAACTTTTAAAGGTTCAACAAACATATTACACAAGCTTACAACGCAATTTTTGAGAATAAGCAAAACATTTTTAATTTACATTTATCAGTTTTTTTTTTGTAATTTTTGAGCCCTTGATTCCCCTTATGATGGGTAGTTCTTTAGTATTTATTTTGTGTTTTTTTTTACTTAATGCAATTAAATTTTTTTTACTGATTTGACACAAATCAGTAATAAAAATGAGTTGTACAAACAATTTTAGGACAGTAAATTTATATATAAAGTTAAGAAAAAAAGGTTTTTTTGTTATGTAAAAAATATCATAATAAAAAAAGAGTATTTTTTTATAAAAGTAAACAATTATTAAAATTAGATATTTTAATATTATATTTTAGATCATTTGCAGTTAGACTTTGATCTTGTGGGTAGTCAAGACTTTCATTGCAGCCAGTTAGACCCCAGTCTGAATGATGATTTTTTTATTGATGATGTTTTCTCACTAAATTGTGATTTAAATCACGATGTAAGTAACAGCAGTCTGGATAACTTGAGTCTCTCTCAAAGCTCTTCCTCCTTTCCCTACCAATACTCTCCTGGATCTGGAAGTATTGATAGTGGCGTGTCAAATTCTGTTGATTTGTCATTACCAGATTCTCCACAGCAACTCTCTCCGAATTCTATTGATCAAAATTATAAGGAATCTTGTCATTCAAAAACTAATCCAGAGTATAATGAGAATATTTTCTCTGGAAATAATTTATTATTTCAAAAAGAACTGCTTGATAAATATATACAAGAACAAGTTACTCAAGCTTTATATCAGCAACAAATCAAACAAATGCAACAACAGAATCTTAACCAAAACATGTTAATAATGCAGTCTAAAGCTTTACAGGAAGATACCATGAAACAGGCAGTTCAACTGCATCAAGTCCAGCAGCAGTTATTTATGCATCATAAGGATATTAATTATCATAATCAGCAGCAACAGCTTCCACAACAGTTGCAACAAGTTTCACCTCCACCACCTGTAGTTACTAGTGTCAAAAGTGAGAGTCAACTCATCAAAATGTTAACAAACAAAAAAAATAATTTTGTTAATGCATTGCATCTAAAAAAAGACAAAGTTCAAAAAAATAATAAATCTCCTTGTAACAAACCCAATAAACAGAAGCAATCATTCTCTGTATCCGCTGAAAACAATGTTGTTGTTGAACCAGATTCGAAATCTGCTCTCACTATGTTACTAATGCAAAAGCCACAACCTAAACATTCTTTAACGGTAAGTACATTCGTAAAGAATAGAAATTTAAAAGAAAGAAGTATAAATAAATAAGGACAATAAAACAAAATAAATAATGTTTAAGTAAATAAAATGTGTACAAATGTATATATATATATATATATATATATATATATATATATATATATATATATATATATATATATATATATTTATAAATTAAAAGTTTTTGTAATATTATTATTATTGTCATTTTAATTTTTATTAAATTATTATTATTCTAAAAATTTAGCCTACTTTTTCAAATCATTCTGATATTGGAGCCTTGTCTGGTAAACATTTGGAAAAAGTAGTTCCTCTTTCTACTCAGTTTACAAATATAGACAAACCTGCTGACAAAATACCAATTAAACGCTTAAATCCAGATTCCCCTGATTCTGCCCATATGCTAAAAGTTAAAGCACCTGCTGCAAAAAAAACAAGAGTTGAACATGTTGTTATTGAGAAACGATATAGGATGAAAATTACTGATTCATTAAATGAGTTAAAAAAATTACTACCTTGCAGTGAAGAATCAAAGGTATTATTTGTTCTGGGCTAGGGATTTATTTTTAGTTAAAAAGTTAAATTTCTAAACTATTGATCAGGCAACCTATGCCTAATATAGAAATAATAGAAACTAAATGAATAGCTTTTAACACTTATTTAATACTTTAAAGGCTACAAAAAATGGTATTTTACAGTCATCCATTGATGAGCTTTTACGACTTCAAAAGGAAAATAATGCATTAAAGCGAAAAAATGAAAAATTGATGACTCTTTTTAATGAATGTAAGTCATTTTTAATAATTTTTATAAGTATTATTGTTCAGTGTGTCACTTGCTAAAAATTATTCCAATCTTAGTGGCCCATAAAGTAAAAACTGCCAATATTTTTCTCAGCAACTTTGTCTATTCTACTTAATGGTTTAGCTCTAGTATAAGTAAATCTCATTACACTGCTTGTAAATAAAATAGTGTAATAGTCTTATTGAACACATCTAATGCAGAAAGTGTTTAATACTTTCTGTTTTGCTAACAAAAATATTATTATTACACTGCTGTAACAGGCTTGGGCAAGAATGGAGTGTGATTTGCATGCTGTAGCTGACCACACTTTTAATTTTTTTTCTCTTACAATTTGACCACGGCTGTTTTGGTGTTTTAACAATTTAAACTTATTCACAGTTTAAAGTTAAAGTTTAACTTTAAATTATGAATAAGTTTAATTAAATCTTACGATTGCAATTAAATGATTTAATTGCTTTATTATTATTATTATTTTTTAGTTTCTATTTTTAAAAAGAATTGTTTAAAAGTTTTTTTTTTTTAAAAAAAAAAAACAACTTACTAATCAGAGCATGAATAATTAAAAATTAATGTATTAAAAAGACTTATTATTTTTTTGTATAATAAGACAATATTTTTTTGAATAATTTTTTTTTGCAACTTTTTGGAAAAATCGTTTATACAATTTAAAAATATTTTGTTTTTTTGCTTTTCATTAATTTAAATGAAATTAATTTATTAAACAATCATTAAAAGTAATTTGTAAAAACATTTCAACACATTTCAAAAGATAAGTTATAAATTAATTTATTTCAAATGCAATTTTTTTATTTTTTTATTTTAATTCACCTCCTCAAGGCCGAGAAGGCCACTACAGACGAGGAGACTACTTATTTGTGGTTATAACCCTCTCTCAACTCTATAACTCCAAAACACGAACCTTGACGAGCAAGGCCGCTGTGCGGAGAAACGAGTTGAGCGCGGTACTACCAGGGACGTGGTGGGGATTGAACTCGGAACCACTCATTTATGAAGCGAGCGCTCTACCACTACACCACTACCGCAATTAAAAGCGTAACAAAAAGTTAAGCTTGAGTTTTTTGAATTTTATTTTAAAGCCTATATATTTTTTTTCATAACAATTTTTTTTATTAAGTTTTTTTTTTTTGCTAGTTTAAGTTTAGTTAAGCGTTTCTTTTTTTAGCGCATTTCTGAAACTTTTAAATCATTAAAACATCTAAACAGTCGTGGTCAAGTTGTCAACAAAAAAAAAATCATTTGCGTGGTCAGCGATAGCATTCGATCGCATACCATTCCTGTCCAAGTCTGCTGTAGTATATTTTGTACTTTTGTCAGCTTTTTTCAAGCTAGTCTACTTTCCTTGTCAGTTTCCTGACCATTTATATAATTTTATTTTGCTTCTTAATTTGTGTCATACCTCTAAATCTTGTTTTTTTTTTTCTATCCTTATTTCTTTGGTTTTCATCTCTAAATCTTTATTTATATATACATTTTTTCTATTTTCTTTCATACAATGTTTTGCCTGAAAAACTCTTGTTGCTTTTTTTTGCGATATCTAATCTCTCCCCATAATTTTAATCTCACTTCTCTCTGCAATTTCAAACTCACTCTTTCATGATTTTATCATTCTTACTGCTTGTATTTTTGATTGTAATTATTGTTTTTATCTTCTTTTTTATTATCAGAAAAGCTCTCTACCATCATGTTAAAATGGCCTGAAGTTGCTTTTATCTAATTCCTATTTTGACCTCTTATTTTAGTTTTGATCTTTTTCTTATAAAAAATGTTTTAAATCTTATAAAATTTTGTTTGTACAAATAAATGTCATGATAATCTCTAAGAACCATCTACAATCGATCTAATATTTACTGAATAAAAAAATAATTTATATTTGAAATATCCCCAGGAATAACGCTTGGCAGCATCATGCTTGGTCATTGAAGTATAATATGGGAATACAACTCAAAACACTTCGACATTTCTCTAACCATCACAACTTCTTTAAAGGTGATTATGTAAATTTGAGCTTATTTATAGGCAGCACAAGTTTGCTCAGGCAACTGAAATCCTATGATTCTATGCAACTATGCTATGATACATTCTTATCAGTATATGAGAAAGTATGATACATTCTTATCAGTATATGTCACTTATATATTGCAATCAAAGTACTAAAAAAAAACAACTTAAAAATTAGAAAATAAAAACTCACTGACCAAAAAAAAAACTTTTAGTGAAATCATGCTTTAAAAATCATCAACCTATAAAAAATTTTGATAAATCCTAATTTGGTTGAAAATAAGCTTTTGGTTTCACTACTAAGTACATAATATTCCTCACAATAGTAAAAAAATTATATAAATATTAAATCCAATTAATAATAAAGTTTTGACAGCAAGCAACACTAGAGTTTTGACAGCAAGCAACACTAGAGTTTTGACAGCAAGCAACACTAGAGTTTTGACAGCAAGCAACACTAGAGTTTTGACAGCAAGCAACACTAGAGTTTTGACAGCAAGCAACACTAGAGTTTTGACAGCAAGCAACACTAGAGTTTTGACAGCAAGCAACACTAGAGTTTTGACAGCAAGCAACACTAGAGTTATATGCGAGTTCTGTATAAAAGTTTAATTTGAATTTATGAGATTTTGATTATAGGTTGATGGACCATTAAAAATATTCTAAAATGTTTATATAAATTTGAGGCCTCTTTTTTTAATAAAATCTCCACATCTGGAGATTTTTTAATAAAGTCTCCACATCTGGAGAAAAAATCATGCAAACAACATTCTGTATGTATGTACATTTTTTATACCTTATTATATTTTACTTTATAGTACGTAAAGTTGGCATCATACCAAATACATCAGTCTCAACATCTAGCAGTGAATCTAATGTTTCTGTTATAAATCAAATTCAAAATAAAAAAAATGAAACCGAAATCATTGACCCTGAAATTAATCAAGATCATTATGCTTCTCCACTTTTAAGACAGAGTGCAAGAGATGGAGCAAAGTTTGTCACCTGCATGTTTATGTTTAGTTTCTTGTTTATTAGTCCATGGAAGCTTTTTTATGAAAATGATCATGTTTCTATTGATGGTATGTGATCAAAAAATTTGTGTTTTTCCTTGATAATAATTTCTTTTAAAAGTTAAAAAAATGTTACAATTTAAAAAATAAACAATATTTCATTTAGGTACTCAATTTTCATCACGCCACCTTTTGAATGTTCAGGAACAGGAAACATCTGCAAAGTATTCATTAGTTTCTAGCCTGTTTAACATTATTTTGTCATTGTTTATATTAATGCTTTTGTTGTTGAGTGGTAAGCCAAAGTGTCCAAAAAGTGTTAAAAGAGCACAATGCTTTCGAAGTCAATTGCTTAAGGCGCAGAAAAAAATTAATAAGGTAATTAAAAATGTTATATTTTTTTTTGTTTTTTTTGATGTTCATCTATTGCAATAATGAGAATATATTATTATTATAATTGTTATTATTTTTATTATTATTATTATTAACTTAGTTCTGAATTTTTTTTATTAAGGTTTTTATTTTTTATTTTAATTTTTATTATTATTGATTTTATTTTATTATTAGCCTGATTTTATATATTTATGACATCATTTGAAGGTACCTGATTCAAATAAAAATTGTTGTCATTAAGTTGTTCAAATAAAAGTTGTTGTCATTAAGTTGTTCAAATAAAAATTGTTGGCATTAAGTTGTTCAAATAAAAATTGTTGGCATTAAGTTGTTCAAATAAAAATTGTTGACATTAAGTTGTTCAAATAAAAATTGTTGGCATTAAGTTGTTCAAATAAAAATTGTTGTCATTAAGTTGTTCAAATAAAAATTGTTGGCATTAAGTTGTTCAAATAAAAATTGTTGGCATTAAGTTGTTCAAATAAAAATTGTTGTCATTAAGTTGTTCAAATAAAAATTGTTGTCATTAAGTTGTTTAAATCAAAATTGTTGTCATTAAGTTGTTCAAATAAAAATTATTGTCATTAAGTTGTTCAAATAAAAATTATTGGCATTAAGTTGTTCAAATAAAAATTGTTGTCATTAAGTTGTTCAAATAAAAATTGTTGTCATTAAGTTGTTCAGAAGTAAGAATAAGCACTGTTGGCCAAAAAAACTGGTTTTATGTCGTGTCGCTCAAATGAAACCATTTTTATTAAGAGTATTTGTCTTGTAACCATAGAAAAGAGTTTTTTTTGAAAATCTGAACAAAGTGCTAAGAGTCATAATTGCGCCAAAAAGGTAAAATTGAAGGGGTTTTAGCCTATTTATGCATTTTAGATGCGTGTTACATTTTTTTTTTATTTTATTCAAAAGTATTTCTTCTATAAAAATAGAAAAGAGTGTTTATAAAATCGGAAAAAAATGTTAAGGGTCACAAATGAAGCAAAGGATTAAATTGAGGGGTCTAAACCCATTTTAAATCTATATTTGTTTAAACCTATTCCATGTAGGTTAAAATTTAGAATGAAGCTTTCACACTGTTCAGCAAACTGACTGTAAACTGTTTGGAGAACTTGCATGATAGGAGTCTTGGATAGATAAGAGGTTTTTTAATTTAGCAAATGCTAACTTATACTCAGTTGCAAAAGTTAACTTAAACAAGAATCTTTTTCTATTTTAAAGTCTTTTATACACTGAACTCTAGGTCTAAGTTAAGAAAACTGAGATGTAAAGGTTTTTCAAAAGATTCTTTTCTATCTACCCAAGCAGGGGCTATTCTAGACCATTTTAGGTAGCGTCGACTGTATTTGGGGGTCGCCCAAATTAAAATTTGAGAAACTTTTTTTTTTTAAATTTTTTAACAGCAAATACTGTTTTTTTGCTAAAAAATGCCAATTTTCTGTTAAATTTTTCCAGGACAGGGAGGTACCGTCACCCAAATTTTTTTCCTAGAAGAGGCCATGCCAAGACAGTTTGTATACACAATATACAGTTATATACACAAATATTGTAAATATTTTAAAATGTTTTTGTTTTTTTAAATTTTGTTTTAATTATTTGAAATTCAATTTATATATATTTTTTTATAATGGGCATCTAAAATGCTTAAATGGGTTAAGGCCCTTAATTTTACCCTTGTCCCTCATTTGTGACCTTTATCATTTTTTTCCGATTATGGAAACATTTTCTATTTTTATAGAACATATACCCTTGAATAAATTTTGTAACATGCATCTAAAATGCTTAAATGGTCTAAGACCCCCTTTAATTTTACCCTTTTGCCCCAATTATGAATCTTAACACTTTGTTCAGATTTAAAAAAACTCTTTTCTATTGTTACAAGACAAATGCTCTTGAATAAAAAAGGTTTCATTTGAGTGACAAAATAAAACCTGGTCTCTTTGACCATCAGTGTAAGGTGATCATAAGAAAGAGGGGGGTTTGTAGTTGAAAAGACTGCAATAAATGTAAATTTCAATGACACTGTTATTTATATATTTATTATATATTTATATTTTTAAATACTGAATGATGACCTCAAAGCGCACTTTTAAAGTAAAATACAAAATTTATTGTAAAAGAAACTAAACAAACACATAGGGTTTTATCCAGACGTCAGTACTTTTTCCACCTTAAATGCATTCTCGTCAGTGCTCTAAACATTAACTGATTTTATTTTTTTTAAAAACATTTTCAAACAAATACAAACACACCTAATAAAAAAAACAAGTCAATCAAAAAGAAAATTCCAGATACAGTCCCAGTTGGCATCAAGGGGGGACACATAAATAGTATTCCTGTTATAGACTCACAATATTATTTTGTACTGAAATGAAAAACTTTGAATCGGAATTGTCTATAAGTAGAGTGTATGAGCTCTACTAAGACGTTTGTCCACAAAAAAGACTTCAATTACCTAAAAAGCATTTTACTGTGCTCTCCTGAGATAGTCAGGGTAAATTTTGGCTTATTTTAACTTTTTTTGTTTATTTATTATTATGTTTTGTAGAGTGTTAAAATAATTTTTTAAATCTAAATTAACTTAAAAATATCTAAAATCAATTATTTTATGATTACATCATCTATTTAAATTGGTACAAAAAATGAAATCAAGGTAAATACTATTATGGTTGTATAAAAGTATTCACTATTATGATTAATATTTCTTAAAGCAATCATTTAAAACTTATAGTTTATTGTCAAAATGGCTGAAGCAAAATGTCTAGTTTGTGCTGGTTTTTTTATCTTTGGATAACATAAATTTAAGGGTAACACAAATGCCTGCAAATATATATATATAATAAAAGTAATTTTTTGATAAACAGTGCTCAATACAAAAGTAGAGCAAATATATATTATATTAGAATGATGATAAAATACAATTAAATTGGAAACATAACTCATAGTTCCACGCTTTATGCCATCATCAAACGTTGCAAACAGCCATAACAACAACAAAAGTTTTAAACAAAAATACAATAGTGTTAACTTAAATTATATATATATATATATATATATATATATATATATATATATATATATATATATATATATATATATATATATATATATATATATATATATATATATATATATATATATATATATATACATATATAAATATATATATATATATATATATATATATATATATATATATATATATATATATATATATATATATATATATATATATATATATATATATATATATATATATATATATATATACTTCTGATTTAATTTTTTGTATGATTAATGAATGAGGTTTGAAACGTTATTGCACTGTTGCAAGAATTTGGCTTTAGTTGAAATTGTTTCTAAATAAAATGGAAATCTTAGCAAACTATCGAAATCACTAGCTCTGAATGATGTAAATATTATAGCATTTAATCTAATAATGCTCAATAAATAAGTTTAATTGATATTATCTATAACAAGTTTGTTGCAGGTGGATAAAAGGAAAATCACATGTTGGAATTAAAAAAATACACATCTCCTCAAATGTAACCTGATTAACCTTAGGAAAATTTAGTAGTGCATCTTATACTTCACCCAGAAATATGCATTTTTATTGGTATTACTTCTATCTTTGTAAAAATATTAATTACTCTTTGGTCCAATATATGCCGAGCTGCTGGAGAAAGTGTTCACCATTATCATTATCAAGTATGGAAACTATGCAAGCTTGGAATTACAATTATTTCTTATGTTAAACTTTTTGTTACATTCATTGCACTAAGGTTTTATTGTAAAATCTACAGTTTATCTTTTTTTGTCAAAGTTTTTTTAACAAAGTTCTTTTAAAAGTGTAATACCCTTTTTATTTTGAAAAAATGACTTTTATTTATAATATATAATATATTTTGAAATTTTGAAAAAATAAGATATTTTAACATATGTTCTTATTATTTAACATAGTATTGTTTAACATTTAACATATTATTTTAACATAGGGTCTAAGGAAAATATCTTAATGACTATTACCTCCCTCTTCGTTTGTTATATTATGGGTTATATATATATATATATATATATATATATATATATATATATATATATATATATATATATATATATATATATATATATATATATATATATATGTATATATATATATATATATATATATATATATATATATATATATATATATATTTTTTTTAAATATTTAAAAGTTACTTTTGATTTTAAAAATTCTTTAAAAATATTTTACCTAACCCAATAATAATAATTAAACAAAAAAAAATCAGAGCTTATATTCTAATATTTTTTCAACTGAGTTCCATATTTCTTTCCTGAAAGGAAAAAAAAAATGATTTGGTAAATGTGAAATTTTTAAAACCAAAAGTGCTGAAAGTACTTTATATGATTGTAAATCAGATCAGCATCTAAATCATATTGAACAAAAAGAAGATGCTTGTGGAAAGTGAAAAAAAGACAGAGAGCTAGGGCAAGTTCTCTGTTTTGATTTACATAATATTTTCCCAAAGCTAAGATCTCAAACTTCTTTTATTGTAAGTAGCTGTCTGTTCAATAATGACAACATATATTTCATTGAAAAAAAAAAAAATTGTTTGAACAAAAAAATTTGGTTTGAAAGTCAGTCTGGCAAATCAGAAAATAATATGGAATCTGCCGTCCTAAGAATTTAGAGTCAGTGCTTAACATAAATCCACTGCTTTACATCACTTCAGATCCACAGAACATTTTTATTTAAAACAAAACATGCAGATGACTTCATCATAGTTTTCAATCATTCGGAAAATGAGAAATCCACAGTCCATCCTATTGCCCCTAAACTGTTTATTCAGGCCAAAAAAGCTCTTTATTTTCAAAAAAAAAAGTAAAAAAGAAAAGAAGATAATATAAAAATGTTTGTCAAACTCTATTCTATATATCAATAGTATTCTATAATATAATATTAATTATAACTTTTTAATATTATTTATAGCATGACTATGAAGATGCTAGAGGTTTTATTCGAATTGGATTATTTGTTATTGGCAACAGTTGCCCAAAAACTACGTATGGAATGTTAGCAAGTTTTACATGGAAATGTTTGTGTCATATGTTGTATCAACTTGGGATTCTTACAATTTTAGAGACCATAGGTCGATCTTTATTACCAGTTTATATTTCTGGTGCTAAAGAGAAGGAACATGAACAGTTTACTTCGAGACTTTCAGCTGAAGCTTATATTAAACTTCATGAAATAGCAATGAAAGGTATGTTATAAAAATTTTGGTTTTGTTGTTTAGTATTTAGGTATAGTAAGATTTTTTATGTTTTTGAAAAAATTATTGAATTAGTTTTGACAAAAAACCACTTAATGACAGATATAAAAATCTTCTAATAATGTGGAAGTAGAAAATAATGAATGAAATTATGAAACAATTAATAATTAATTTATTGTTCTGTCCTAAATCTGATTTTGACATTTTAAAGTTAATCACCTAAAATATAAAATATGGCTGATGCATATCACTATTAACTTGACATTTTATGAGAAATTACATTTTAAGAATTAATATCTTTTTTCTAAAAGTTAAGTTTATTTAACTTTGGTCTGAAACCAACAATAAATATTTACAATAACCTCAGTATTAGATTTCAAAGTTTAAAATTTTTATTGAATGTCATGTGCCTCCATGTAGTAATTAAGTAAGTTTATTTTTAAACTTATTTGTATAAAAGGCAAATAAAGTTTTGGTGTGGTGGAATAGTGTTGCAAAATTTTGATTGTCACAAATTTTTATTGTCCCATTTTTGATCGTCGGAATTAAGAAAAAGTAATAGTGTCGCAAATTCTTTCATTATTGATTGTCAAATAGCAGAATAAGGAATAATTTTGCAAATGAATTTAATGAATAGTGTCTAAAATAAAAAAATTAATAATGTTGCAAAGGAGTAATGAGTAGTTTCGAAAACAAAAAAAAGAAGTTTTGCAAATAGTAAAATCAGAATTAATAAAAACAATATAAAACAATATAAAAGTCAAAAACAATAAAAAGGAGTAGTGTCGCAAATGAATTTAATGAATAGTGCTGAAAAGAGATAGTGCTGATAAGAGATAGTGAAAAGAGATAGTGAGATAGTTTAAAAAATAGTGCTGAAAGGAGTTTTATGAATAATAACAAAAGTAAAAATATAATAATAACTATAAATGTGTGTTTAGATAACATGTCTGATGTCATACTAAAATAGCCTGCTGCCGGGGACTTCAGTATATACACCATCTATTTTATAGCCTGCTGGCACAAAATGAGTGCCGCTACATCTACTGAGGGTTTGGGGTTTGATAATCTTTTAATTTTAGCAATCTTTTTATTATTCTTTAATTTTTTCTTTTTTTCTGTAAAAGTCATCATCATTACAGTTTTCCAGATTTTTTCCCTTACCCAAACAAATTTCTAGATTCTTAAAATATGGTCTGGATGATCAATATCTATAAAGATAAGCAAAATGAGTAAGCAATTGCTGAAATTAACTGTTTGCGACACTACTCTGTTTTTATTATTTGCGACACTATTCTTTTTTTTTTGTTTTCAACACTGTTCATTAGTTTCATTTGCAAGATTATTCCTTTTTTTTGCAACACTAGGCTTTTTTAATATATTTGACACTATTCTAAAGTTCATTTTTCGACACCATTCCTGTCACCCTAAAGATTTTCTAATTTAAATAGTAATTTTTTCAAAAGTAAAGCAATGTGATAATTTAATTTTAGGTTTTATACAAATATTTTAGTATTTTTTTAAAGTTTTTGGAAGTCTTGCATCCAAGGTTAATGTATGTATATATAAATATATATATATGTATATATATATATATATATATATATATATATATATATATATATATATATATATATATATATATATATATATATATATATATATATATATATATATATATATATATATATATATATATATATATATATATATATATATATATATATATACAACCCTTGGAATCAGGAAACATGATGTCGGTAAAAATTATTTGATATAAAGGTCTGACCATAAAACATAGAATTGAGGTCGTCAATTTTTTGCCAACCTCAAACACTTTCAGGTCGGCAGTTAGGTCGGCATTGCGGATGCCGACCCTTATTCCGAGGGTTATATATATCAGGCTTTCCCAGGAAAGGTGTGCGGTCGCACGCCTTGTTTGTCCACGCATAGAAAAATTTTTTCAGAAAATGTGACCGCTGCAGTATTTTGTAAGAAAGCGGAAATTATCCATAGAGAATAAAAAATAATATTTAAAAAATGAAACGAAGTCTAAACAAAGTATAAAATTGAAATTGAATGTAAGAAAAATATTTCGATAATAAAAAAAAATTAAAAAAAAAAAATTCTTGTAACAAAAAAAAAAGTCTTGAACATTTTTTTCAAAATTTTGTACTGTTTTTGTTTTCTTTTATTAGGGTTGCTATTTTCAGCTACGAAATTTGATACAAGTCAAGGAAAAGACGATGATAAGTCATAAAGTTTTTGCGAAAATAAAAAGACTTGAGACTTGATACTAAATTTATTCACGAACTTTATCAGACAATGTATTAAAAAATTGATTCATTATTTACGCTAGACAAATTTGGTCAAACTTTTTCATTTAATTTAGTTTTTACGAAGGTTTATGCAAAGGCAATGACTTTATTCCCCAATACTTAGACAAGAAAATAAATTGCTGTTTTAATTATTAAATATATTATTTGAGATTTTAAACATAGCAAAATTTTAATGTGAAAAAAGTTCTCGACTTATTCTAAACTGATTTTACTGAGTCAATGCTCACCTTTTATTACATTGAAATTATTCAATTGCATAATTTTGTAATTATGAAAGAAGTTGAAAAAAATAATTGCATTGCTTCTGTTGTCATTGTTACGGAAACAGTTCCTTCGGGACATTATTATATATTAACACTCGTTCACAATGTCAATTAATGATCGCAAAATAAGCAACTCAATCTTTTGACAATAACATTTTCTTTCATTTAAAAAAAAAAAAAAAACATTTTACTAATAAATAGCAATCGTTTTCGTGTTTTCTTGCGTATCAATACATTCAAACATTAAAATCAATACATTTAAACATTTAAATGTATTTACGAAACATTTAAAAATTGTTTATAGTTCTATCGTGAATTTTAAAGTATTACTGACTGATAAAAGTCATAAACAAATTTTACATTAAAAGGTCCTTTTATTTTCTTTAAGTATTAATCTTTTTCTTTTTGATTTGATTTTTCTTATTGATTTGATTTTTCATAGCTTAAATAACTACCTCCCTAAATAAATAAATAAATTATAGGTAAATTTTTTTTTTAATAATATGCATTAATTTTTTAATTTTAAAGCACAAACAGATTTCTGTTATTCACTTTAAGATTGCTTGCATTTTTGCGGTATTTTCGTTTAGCTTTGTTTTGGCGCGAATTCTTGAAACGCATAATAATAAAACGTGGTCAGTTAGTCAGAAAAATTTATTCTATGCGTGGACAAACAAGGCGTGCGACCGCACGCCTTTCCTGGGAAAGCCTATATATATATATATATATATATATATATATATATATATATATATATATATATATATATATATATATATATATATATATATATATATATATATATATATATATATATATATATATATATATATATATATATATATATATCTTTATTAATGTTTTTATTGTATATCGTATATTGTATATTGGTTTTGTTTCTTATCTTTATTGATAATCTTCCTGACCTTACATCCAAAGTGGCTCTTTTTGCTGAACTCAACTTTATACTCCCCTCTTGACAAAAAGTCTTCTCTTTTCGATTGCTTAGAACAGGCAGCTGGTCTTGAATCTCATCTCGCCTCTGTAACCGATTGAAGCTTACAGTGATTGAATTTTCTATTGGGTAAATTTTAACTCCAACAAAACTCAGTTATTTAGTCCAAACAACTATTGCAACACTGTTGATATTCCTATATTAATGAATAGCAACCCTCTCACTGAGTCCTTTTCTTTACATCTTTAATTATCATTCACTACTGACCTCTCATGGAAACCATTTATACAATCCATTACAAAGTCTAATATCAACTATTTTTTTTCTCTTTAACCTTTTATTCTTTGTTTTCTAGTAGCTCTTAAACTAATAGTGGTTGCTTGCAGTCTTGTTGGGAGTGAATTGAAATAAAATTAAAAACAAACAAACAACAAAACAAAACATAAAAGATAAGATATAAGAAAAATCTAACAACAACTGCCTGATCATCGTTGGCTTTGAGAGTAGAAGTTTGCTTTTATGTCTTTTAAATACTAATTCATTTCTTTCGTTTAATAAGTTATTACTTATTAGATTTATCACTTTTCTTTCTTTACTTTTTTTTTTATTTACTTTTTTTTGTTGTTGAATAAGTTTTCATTTTTGTAAGATATTATTACATATTTTTTAAATAAGCATAGTTTGGTTGTGGGATTTTAAGATCTATAATGTTTTACAATTTTCAACTTAATTTTTGGGTTTATTCTATCTTTATTTAACCTCCATACTTCCTTAAACAGTTTTTTATATTCGCCAATATTGAAAGAATTTGTATTGTTAGAGTATATTAGATTAAATGCAGTTTCACCTAAATACACCTTTTCACTCCCATCTGGAATGTCTGGGTATAGAGTGGCATGGTACACATCCTTATTTGCAAGATACTGTTGATTTAAATGACACTTGCTTTTAATAATGCAATTGCAACTTTTATTGGTTAATGATTGATTTGATGTTTGACATAAAACTGTAACTCACCTTTATAAACTTTTCTATTGAAAAGTTTGTGATATTCATGAAAACTAGGAAATGCTTGTCTACTAACTCCAAAAAGAGTTTTTGGAGTTAATAGACAAACATTTCTACCAATTTTGGTAGAAATAATTTTTCTATATGGAGTGGGTTAAACCAAATTATATTATGCTTACGATTATTTGAAAGTGGTTGGCAAAGTTTTGGAATTAACTTAAGCTTGAATTGGTAACCTGTAGACACGCACACACATACACAATGTTCATGATAAAGAAAATTATCCAGTTTGATAATTTGCGCTCATAAAATTGAAATAAGTTGTTAACAAGTGTGATTACACATTCTCAACAGCAGTCTTTAGCATTGGAAAATGATTGTGAATCGCTTGTAAATATCTTTTATATATACAGCATGAGGCTACATATACATAGGCTATATATACATTGAGGCTCTAGAATGAACCATCTGTAAATAGGTACTATTCACACTAGTTACATGTGATGCCAAAACTTCGAAAAACTGGCCACAATGTTGCAGAAGAACTACTCATATCTCTGAGTGAAGAAGTTGAAAAATATTTGTTGATGTTTTCTCTGATCTGTTTTTATTCAAAAGTCTACTGTTTCAGCCTGGATATCAGAAGCTCAGCATTAGCTTGGTAAGCCTAGGTCTCTGATTAGATGGTTAATGTCTTTCTGATTAGAGAAGTATGAACTCTCCACAACCTGCAAAACAGTAATTTTGTGAAAAATTGTGAAATTCGAAAGCAGGAAATTTCACCTAATACTGGGCATGATATGAACAAATATCATGTTTTCCTATAATACGCTGAAACATTGTCAATTGTAACTTCTTAAAATAATATTTAAATATATTTAAATCATTGAAATTTTATAAAATGTAGCACATTTTAGCAAGAAGCAGTTATTCCACTTATCTTCAAGAGTTCTCTTGCAGTATTTGAATGTGAAATGCAGTACCCAAGACTTTCCTGTTGTCTACTTTTGTAGCAAAATGCATCTGCAGGATGCAAACAACTTTTTGATTTAAATTAAGATATTGATCCTCAAATTTTCAGAAAATTTTTAAATTATTTTGAGGATTAAAATATTTTCAATAAATATTCAAAAAATCCTCAAAAAGTTAAATATTGCTTTTATACTTGTCTACTTTTAGACAGTTGAGAACATTCTAGAATGTTCTAAAAGTTTCTTGAAACTTCTAAAAATGTTTTAAAAGTTCTAGAATATTCTGGAAAACTCTCAGACCTCCCAATTCTAGCAGTTCAGAAATAGATGAAAGCTCATCAATACGAATCGACAACTTTCTCAAAAATTCAAATTTTCAAAATATTGTTGTTCTGTTTGCAGAAGCAAAGTTTTTGTGGAACATAAAGTGGAAACAGCTAATTCCTATTTGTTTTTAGCAAAATGTGTAAGAGGAACACGTTTTCAACCCAAGGACAAAACAAAAATTTTTGCCACTTAAATTCCATTATACTAACAAGTGTAAAATTATAATGTAGTATCAAATATTTATTTGATTGATCAAATAAAAACATAGTTAATGATTTCTAAATGTCTATGTATATAACTTATCAACTAATTTATTGAAATAAATGATTTTTATTTATAATAACAACAAGATAAAAACATTTTTTTATAGATAAAAGCAGTTCATATTTAGAAGTTGCATGTTATATTATGAATGCAATATATGCCGCAGAAGGGTCTGGTGATGAGGAGTTATTATGTACTACATACACAACAGCGGTGATACATATGAGGGAAAAAGTTCGTTGGTTTTCTTATCTACTTCAGGTATTTAACAAAACTTAAATTAAATTTTTGTTACTTTGTAATGGAAATAAATTTTGGGTAAAATTGTTTTTTTTTTTTAACATGCAGTATTACTTTATTGGCTGTGCACATCACGTTTCATTAGCTAGTAAAAGTGAACATGTTTTTGCAGTTGATTGGATTTTTGAAAGTCGTGGTTATGGTTTTTTCACAAGTAGTTTGTGGAATATTAATCAACCTACTTTGTTAAATAATGTTGAAGGTATTTTTTTTAAATGCGTAAAAATATTATCTTATATACTTTTTTTGTTATATACTAAGCCTTAAAATATTATTTAAAATGTAAATATAAAAATTAAATATAAATTTTTTTTTATTAATCTTGTTTTGAAGAATCTCATATATATATATATATATATATATATATATATATATATATATATATATATATATATATATATATATATATATATATATATATATATATATATATATATATATATATATATATATATATATATATATATATATATATATATATATATATATTATATATATATATATATATATATATATTATATATATATATATATATATATATAATATATGTATATATATATATATATATATAATATATATATATATATTTCTGAATTTAGGTGGCCCCCTAATATGGCTCAATTTCTGAATTTAGGTGGCCCCCAAATATGGTTGGTGCTGTTGAAAACACTCTAGAATAGCACCTGATAATATAAATAATTTTATGTATTTATTACTATTAATTATATTACTAACTGATCTGACCCATAAAAATATGGGCCTTTGTTAGTCTATTCCACACTGACCTTTTTTATACTTTTTCCTTATATATATATATCCTAGCTTTCCGGACCCATAAAATACGGTTCTTTACCAAACCTACCTTTTCTATACTTATCTATTCCACACCAATCATTTCAATTCTTACGGTTTGTTTACTTCAATATTTTTACGTAAAATAATTACTTTAAAAAAATGGCTTTAAAGGATTATCATGCCCACCCATTCAGCATACCTAGAGCTTATAAGGTTTGCTTTTGTCCTAAATGCATATCATTGATAGCTCAGTGGTTTAGTGCACTGTCATCAGTGTCGTTTCATGAGAATAAAGACCTCCCCTAATAAATTTTGAATATTTTTCAATCTTGCTGTGCTTATAGCAACATAGCAAAATTTTTATTATAATATATATCTATAATGATTATAGCAATATTATAGCAAAAAAATAATTGTATAGCAATTAATTTTCTAGTTGGAAAAATTAAATTCAAAAGTTTTCTCATTTTTGTAGATTTATTATACACAGTTTTTCCATATACTGCCTGCAAACTCAAATTATGCTAAGGGCGTTTACTTTTACAGATGTTTGTACGCAACGCTATACAAATAGCAGAACTAAGAAGATCTTATGCCATTAAAAACTATAGACTCTAAAACGCTAACGAATTGTCCATAATTTAAGCAATGCTAAATTTATTTTTAAAAAAGATGGAGATCTTCAGTTCTTTTAGGTTTTCATTAAACTTGATGAGCTGTTTTAATTTTTTATTTAACTCTGCGACGAAAAATTTTGATCTTTTTTGTTTTGTTCATTAGTGAAATTTAGCGTTGCATAATTTATGGATGATCTCTTATTTAAAATTTTAGATTAGGGATCAGCCAAAAAGTATATAAAGCCAAAAAATAATGGAGTATATTACTATTTTAATGGTTATCTAAATTCTGTTGTTGTTGTGCACTCGGTTTAGAATGTTTAACTGGGGGCGTGGTAAAATAGCTGTAAAACTCTAAATTTCTTTACATCAATATTAAATAACTTAAACTTTTAATTATTTTTTTAATTTAAGTATTTAATTTAATAAAATTGTTTACTTTAAGTATAAAATTAAAATTTTCAATTACGTTCTTATATAAAACATACTGTTTAAACCCCAATACTGTTTAAAAAAAAATTGAGGTCACCGTGTGGCAAGTTCAAATCATCAGCTTGCTTTATTTTTTAATTTTTGTTATTTAAAATGCAAAACAAAACAACTTTACAGTTCTATAGATTTTATATTCTATATATAAACATGTTGTATACTCATTTTTCTTGCACAAACTCAACTTAGTTGAGTTTGTGCAAGAAAAATGATTTTTAATGTTTTTAGAATTTTTAATGTTTTTAGAATTTTTAGCATTTGTATTTTTGACAATTAAGTAATTGGTATTTTAAAAATTAAAAAAAAAAATTAAAAAAAAAAAGTTGTCAGTGGTTGGACTCAAACTATGGCATTTTTGTTCTGAAGCTCAGTCTGCTAACCACTCCGCCATGCCAGCCACTCTGCCATGCCAGCACATTAACAATTGAAATTTTAAAACTATATAAACATTTTTTGCATCAAAAATTAAAATTTGATATATGTTTTAGTATGAAACTTGATATTGTTCGAAGAATGTTTTAAAACTATTTAATAAACAAAATACTTTATAAAACAGAACAAAAAAAATAAAAATAAAACCTGTAAATCAAAATTAAGAAAATGCAAGAAAATGTATTCAGCCGCAACTTGATGAAACTTGATGTTTCAGCCGCAATCCAATTTTAAAGTAAAAGTAAAACTTGATATATGTTTTAACATTACATAATTTGAAGTTTATATACGTTAGATATTGGCGTACACTTTCAGTCACATTTTCTTATAGAACAAAGCTGCTGCAACTCTTTCTCGCCATTACCTCGGTTGCAATGGCTGCCAAGACTTCTGTGTCAAATAGGCTCGAAAGGGTACTACTACTACTACTACTACTACTACTACTACTACTACTACTACTACTACTACTACTACTACTACTACTACTACTACTACTACTACTACTACTATTAAGTTCATTATTATTATATAGATATAATATGTTTGTACATCTTAACTTTAATACATGCAAGTATAGCATGTTTGTACATCTTAACTTTAATTCATTTTTATTATGTAAGTAAACATGTATAAATTAGGTATGACAAGTGTGTATTATGTAGTAACACATTTGTCTATTTGTACTTCTTTTGTTTTATCTTCAACTAAAACTATTGCCTTAACTTATTTTCAATTATTTTTAAAACTAAAAATCAAGGGCTGGGATGATATAACCACTCAATTTCCCAATAAGGGTCAGTAGTTAATTGTAGAAGTTAACCATATGTTAAGAGTGTAAAGTGCTCAAAGTGTAAACGTTTAGTTTTCTAATAGATTTGAATTTAAAAAATTTTGTTTTTTTTAATTCAAGCCTAATTAAGACTTAAAACCTTTGGCTCATTAGGATTCAATTTTCTCGAAAATTTAAAGAAAACATTAACAGGTCAGGGTTCAATTAATGTAAAAAAATCTAATTGCAAAAAGAATTTTTTGCAAAATTATTTTTTCTTTGTCCTCTCGCATTGCCTGCTGTTTTGTTGTGTGAGGTTCTATACTATGGAAACTTTTTTAAATAGGAGGAATTGTAACTTATGTACAAAAACATGCTTTATATGACATTTTTTTGTAATTGTAATTTCATGTAATTATGATATTTTGTAATTGTAAACATTTGCACAAAAATAAACACAATTAAAAGTGAAATAATTTTATTATGAATGTTAGGTTTCAGCTCTCTAGATTTTTGGTTTAAATACAGTTTAAAATATTCCTTAAAACTTTATTGGAACTTAATTGTAGTTCGTTCATTCACAATTCATTCTTTCAGTATGTTTTTACCATAAAATAATGTGAGAGATAAATTTTCTTTAATAAGATTTTTTTACTAAAATTTATAAGTGATTATTAAACGTAAAAAATTTAAATTTTTGTTTTTGAACAGAAAAATTTTTAAACAGAATAATTTTTAAACATTTGTTTGGTATTTATTTCACACTTTTAATGAATTGTAATTGAATGTTTTAACACAAATTTTTGCAGCTCATTAAGAATTATTATATTTTATTAAAAATTTTTAAGAAACAAAAAGTGAAACAACTTCACAAAATTTAAGAAATGCTTAACTTAAAATAACTGACAAATGCAATTATAATAAATTAAAATGAAATGAAATTAAACAAAATTATGTTTATTTTTATAACTTTTATTATAATAATTTAAGTTTTTTTGAATAAGAGTAAAATAAAATAAACTTTCAAATAAAAATGTTTTTTCCTCACTTCCACTATGTTGGAAATTTTATGTTACTATTTTAATTTAAGATACTATTCTAGAAGTCACTGCAATTCGCAAATTGCAGTATTCTGTTTGATTTTCTTTAAAATAATTATAAAAGAGCAATGAAATTTTGCAACAAATTTTTGTATAAGATTGCAATTGAAGATTTGCAAATTTAAAATAATTTAAAATCTCGATCTTGCTATAAATAAAAATTTGAAATAATTTAAAATCTCGATCTTGCTATAAATAAAAATTTAAAATAATTTAAAATCTCGATCTTGCTATAAATAAAAATTTGAAATAATTTAAAATCTCGATCTTGCTATAAATAAAAATTTAAAATAATTTAAAATCTCGATCTTGCTATAAATAAAAATTTGAAATAATTTAAAATCTCGATCTTGCTATAAATAAAAATTTAAAATAATTTAAAATCTCGATCTTGCTATAAATAAAAATTTAAAATAATTTAAAATCTCGATCTTGCTATAAATAAAAATTTGAAAATATGAATAAAAAATCCTAATCTTTTTTCTCCAAATGTTTTAATATAAACATTTCTACTACTAGGTTTTATATATTTTTTAAATTAATGTCTTTTAATATATTAAATTTTACATTAAACCTTGAAGAAATATTCTATATTTTATTAAATTATATCACAAGAACAGGGTTGGAGTCAAATACATATTTATATTTGGTAATAATAGGCTAAATTAGCGTATTTGTATTTATATTGTATTTGGTTTAAAAATATCTTAAATATTTGCATTTAATTGAAATCTATTTTTAATAAACTAAGTTTGCTGGTAAAAATAAATTACATTAACTGCCGGTTTTTTTGAAAAACCAAGTTTTACTTTTTCATTTTTAATACTAAAAAAGTTAAAAACTTCTTTTTAAGGTATATTTGTTAACACTTTTTTTTCATTCTTCATTTTTCATTCTTCTATTTAGTATATCATTTTATCAGCATTGTATTTAGTATACCAGTATTTTATTTAGTATTGTATTGAAAAAATCTTTGTATTTTTTCTAAACCGAAAATACAAATATTTGTATTTTGAAATCAAAAATTGATGTAGTTGTATTTGTATTTCATGTATTTGACCCCAACCCTGCACAAAAAGAAAAAAACGCATTGAGAAACAAACTAAAAAATATTAAGGTTGCTAAGATACAAATTCAATCATGGTTTACAATCTTGATATGCTTAATTCAAACACTGTTGATATTTCTTTAGTTTATATAGTGTTTGAATATTTTTTTAATTTCGTTTAGATAATGTAGAAGTTGATGAAGGTTAGCACTTCACCTTTTTTTTTTGCAATTTCTATTGTAATATTTTAATTTTTTTTTATTTTACAAACATTCTATCCTAATTAAATTTCAGCAAATCTTCTTCAGTTAGTATATGCACAGTTTCAAGAATTTCTGCTTACAAAGGCATTGAAAAGAATTGTTTTACCTGTAACTTGGTACCCAAATGAAGGAAAAATTGAACTTCATCAAAGAGCACTTTCATTTTTAGAAGATTTAGGTGTTGGTCCTGTAAGTGAACAAATGGATTCTGCTTACATTCATTTGACATCTTTTTATGCATGGTGGGGATCATTGTTTAAACAATATTTGTTAATAAAAAAATCAGGTATTATTGATCAAGATGAGTTAAATAAACAAGTTGAATCCTTCAATGAAATTATAAATCCAGAAAAGTAAGCAATAAACTTTATTTAAAAAAATATTATATATATATATATATATATATATATATATATATATATATATATATATATATATATATATATATATATATATATATATATATATATATGATATATATATATATATATATATATATATATATATATATATATATATATATATATATATATATATATATATATATATAATGCATTATACTATTATATAATTTATAGAAACCAACTTGTGACAATGTGCAAATCTGTGTTTCAATCTTTTATAAATGTTACTGAGTTCCAGACTAAAAAGCTGAGTTCTTTAAATATTGAACAAGAAGCATATAAAATAGCTGCTATGTTGGAAAATGCACACAAGGAAATTGTTTCCAATATTGAAATTTTGCCCAAATCTGATAAATCTACAATAGAGGAGGTATATATTTCAAAATGAATATTTTTAATGCAGGGGTGCAAAGTTATTTAATGGAAATTAAATAAACATGCATACACACAAACACTGCTTTTGGTTGGCACTATTCCAAATTATTTTGCACAGTTTAAGTTTTAAATCAAAACTTTTATTTTTATATTCTACTTTTAGTTTTAAATCCAACTTTAAATATTAAGTCCGTTCTTAAGAAAATTAAGAATAAAAGAATAAGGAAATGGATTTTGTTTTTGATGCAATAAATATATATATATATATTAAAGGACTTAGTAACTCCATACATACTAAAGGACTTAGTAACTCCAACAAAACTTTGTTATTTATTACAAACAACTATCGCAATATTGTCAACATACCTATATTAATGAATAGCAACCCTCTCACTGAGTCCTCCTCTTTATGTCTTCTTGGTTTATCATTCACTACTGACCTCTCATAGAAATCATATATACGATTGATTGCAAAGTTAGCATTTGCTGAGGTTGCTTCTTATTATTGTGCTTGCCATTATCTTACTCTTGATTCAATTCCATACCTTTTTAAATCTCTCATTCATCCCTCTACGGAACAATGTTGTTATATTTGGTTCTTCTAATGATGCTCTTTCTCTTATTGACTAGGTCCAAAAATGCATTGTAGACACAGTTGGACCTTTATAATTTATAGAAACCAACTTGTGACAATGTGCAAATCTGTGTTTCAATCTTTTATAAATGTTACTGAGTTCCAGACTAAAAAGCTGAGTTCTTTAAATATTGAACAAGAAGCATATAAAATAGCTGCTATGTTGGAAATACTATGTTGGATACTTTATCTGCCAAGCTTAAGCCGCTGCCACTTTTCTACAAATACTATCATCAGAGATTATCTTTTTACCGATATTTCCGGAATTCCATATATTTTTTTCAACTTTTAGTTGTTCCCGATATTCAAAACATTTTCAATACATGTAAGTTGAGGTATATATTTTTGTAATATATTTGTTTTTTAAGCTTTTTCACTCATCACTCATAAAAAAATTATGATAAGTGTCAAAAAAAAATTAAAAATAAAATTAAAAAAACTAAAAACGAAATTAAAAAGAGAGTAAGAGAAAACAAATTCCATTTTTTTTTCCGGATATTTTATTCAAACAATTTTCCGGATTTTTAAAATATGACTAGGATAATCTATGGTCATAGGCACTGCTCATAGGAGCTATTATCTGTTGTTCCATGAACCAAGACTCATTCTTACATGACTCGTCATTCAGCAAAGTTGCATCCTTTTTCTGTATCTGTTCCTGCATGCTCTAAAAGCTTTTATTCATCTAGTTTTAACATTTATTCTTCATCAACTTTTGTTCATCTAGTTTTTTTACCTGCACTTCAATTTCTGTAGTTCTAATGTAAACCTACATTGTTATTGAGGTTTATAAGCCTACATTAAGGATGCTGTGTAACTGTGTGTTTTGGTTGGGAGAACAAGTCATAAACTTGTGTTTTGTTTTAAACACATTTTGAAGGACGTTTCTACTGTTATGGAGGTAGATATATTTTTACTTTATCTACAGAAGTTTTTTAAATCCATGCATTTGCTGCATGGATTTAAAAAAGCTTGATTGTATGCAGTCAAAGGACACACTGTAATCTTTACTACAGTGTGTCCTTTGACTGCATACAATCAAGGTTGTTTAGCTGTGTTCAAAGGTTAAAAACTAATTTAACAAGTTTCGTTAACATGCTTTAATGAGTAAAAAGATGCAGAAGTATTAGGGTTATTTATACAAGTTTGTAATCTAAGATCACAGCAGTGTTAGCTCTTAGATGTGTTTGAAGCAATTCACCCACTTGTGCTGGCATTACATAGATCAAAAGTTATAAAATAGTTTTAAAAAATTTTAAAAAGTTAAAAAATTTAATTAGCTAAATAAATATTAATGATTTTTTAAGAATGAATTGAATTTTTTTATTGAATGAAATGAATTTTAATAACTTGTTAACCTTTCTTTTTAAATCCAATTAATGAATAAACTTGCTAACCTTTCTTTTTAAGTCCAATTAATGAATAAACTTGTTGACCTTTCTTTTTAAGTCCAATTAATGAATAAACTAGTTATTTTTGATTAAATTATTTAATAATCTTAAAAGTTAGAGATCATTCAACATCAAAAAGATGTAACAGTTTTTGTTTATAAGTGTTTAAAATTGGTATAAAATTATAAATTAAATTTATTATTATTAATTTATTAATTATTAAATTATAAATAGTGATCGACTAAATACAACAGTTACAAATTATTTAATAATATTTCATTTAATAAGAAAAAATAACTAACTAAATACAACAGACAATTATTTCATTTAATAAGAAAAAATCTAAATCACTTGAAAGAAAAAAGAAAAATATATATATTTTTTTTCATATTATTTTGAATTACCAAAAACAATAGTTACAAAAATTGTATTTTTGTTATTAGCTCTTATTAGTTGCAATTTTCTTTCATAAAGAAAAGACCCATTAGAAAAAAATAAAATTTTTAATAAGAAATTAATATCTAAATCACCATCTTAGAAAAAAAGTTTAACTTTTTCCTTAGCAGGTGTTTTAGTTAAAAGTAAAAATTTAGTTTATTTTTATTTGTTTTAGAAGATTCAAAATAATATGCTAAAACTGCTGTATAGAGAAGTACAGCAGTTCACTTGCCAATCAGTGTTGATTGGCAACCTTTAAACAATTGTTTCTAGCGCTTTAAGTTACTTATTATATTTACTTTGAGTGTAGCTTGTGTAGAAAGATTTTTTCTAATAAAAATTTAAAATAGTTAAAAAATGTCTTCAAAAATCAGCTGAACCAAAGCACATTATAAAGCTTGATGATGGTTGAAACAGAAGGTCCGAAAGCACATTATAAAGCTTGATGATGGTTGAAACAGAAGGTCTGAAAGAGTGTTTCAACAACAATTTGTTAGAGTTGACGAGTTGAAACATAAAAATCAAAATATTAAAATTAAGTTATAAATTGAAAACAGTTACATTTACAACTGAAGACAATAATTAATTTATGTTTATATTTTTTTCATGATATATTTATGGAGGTCTCTTTTTATTCAAGCCCTGTTTCTACAATTTTTGTTTGTAGCCGTTTACTAAATTTTTATTTGTGTACAGAATATAACCTTTTCGTTTACACAACAAGTGCCAAGCTTTAGAGCTAATAGTCTTAAGAATCATTATCTTGTACATTGTACTAAGTAATGAAACTTTCTTAACGATCACTTCGTTGTTGTTTTTTTTCTTTAAACCAATCCATTGACTGAATAAATGAGTTCATAATTTAAGTTGTTTAAAACATGCATAGTAAGTCAAGTGAGTTGTTTTTCTGAAAGGTATTGAGCTATTGCTTTAAATTTGTTTTTGCTTTTTGTTGAGGATATTGTAAGACTCTATACCAAACAATAAACATATTTAAAGTTTCCACAAAAAACCTATTTAAACATGTAATATGAGCATATATATATATATATATATATATATATATATATATATATATATATATATATATATATATATATATATATATATATATATTTATAAACATGAACATATTTAAAGTTTCCACAAAAAAATTATTCAAGGCTAACACCTTTTGTGTTTGTATTTATGTATGAAAGAAAATTTTCAAAGCCACCCAAAAATAGTTTTTTCTCATTCTAATGTTTGTGTACAATGTAAAAAAATTTTTTAGCTAATTTTACTAACTATTTTTGAGCCTCATCAAAGTTATTTAATGGTTTAACATTTAATGGTTCCCTAATATTAAAAAAATAGTTAAAAATTTTTTTTTTTTCATTATTATGTTTTGTTTGGTGTTAGAAGTAATATAAAAGTTTCAAAAGTAATAATCATTCTTTGTTTGAAATGTATATTTATATGCATTATAGTACTATATATATATATATATATATATATATATATATATATATATATATATATATATATATATATATATATATATATATATATATATATATATATATTTCATTGTTTATATTAATATCAAATATTACATATTTAACAAAATAATAAAATTTATATTTTAAATAATTTTTTATATAGCTTTTAATAATTTGGTGTTCTGATCTGATTGCCAAAGCAACATATCTTTTATGGGAAGTTGCTCCTGTTCAGAAATCATTCCAGGAGTTACATTTACTTCTTTGCAACAGCAGTTTTATGAATTCTCTTTCTAAAAAATACCCAGAACTTATATCAACTGTAAGCTTAAGTTATTTTTTATAAAATTTTGTATTTGTAAATACATTTTTTGCTTGTTAAATATAAATTTAAATGTTGTTTATTTTGAATATAAATGACTTAATGTGCTTAATGTTGGAATTAGGTAATTTCATGATATTGATATTTACATAGCAACTATATTTATATAGCAATTCTGGTATGTATTATTCACATTCTTCTATTATTATTTCTTATGAAGCTCTATCACCTACATTCTAATGGCTGCTCACTTTTTGATGTTGTTCCTAAAAATATCTATATGGTCTAAATTTTTATATGGTCTTAAGTATATAATTATATGGTCTTAAATATACTTAAGACCATTTATTTACTTATTTATTCTAATATTACTTTTCATTACTAGAATCCATATAAAACTTAATGATCTAATGCCACTGATACTACTGGTGTCAAATAAACCACAGATAATACTAGTGTCTCTAAATTGCTTTTAATCTCTTACCCAGATTTTAACCAGCCTAATTTTAAATCAATTCTTCTTTGACACTAGTTTTTAATTTTTTCCTGTTTCTTATTAGTTTTCAAATAAAGATTGCATACAAGTAATTATTGTAGAAGAATAGTTTCACATCACTTTAATCATTTAGAAATAGAAAACATAATAGAAAACATAAAAAACAGCAACAACAAAAAACATAAATTTTAGTGTGAATTTAGCTTTTTAGCTAATTTTTAGTATTTTTTAGCTTCAGCGCCATGATTTTGAAATGCATGTCATGTCAGGCTCTTGTCGATCTACATTATTACGTCAATTGAAGAAAAGCCAGCAGTTGTTTTCAGGTATAACAAAGTTATAATATTTTACTATTTCTGTTAATTTTAAAACAAGGTTCCACAATTTTTGTAACACTCAATTTTGTAACACTTGATTTAAAAAAACTTGATTGTTTTTTAACAATATATTTTGTTGCTTTTTGTTTCAGTTAGTCGAAAAATCGATATAAACAATGCTTCATATCTTTCAAGTAACAATATTTTTCCTCTTAAGCAAGATGGGTTTTTGAGCTAAAGAACTGTTTGACAATTATTTTCAAAAAAATACAAAAAGTTTTCAAAAAAGATACATATACATATATTAACACACACGTTTTTATATTAGTGAGTGAAATGGTTGAAAAAAAATTCAAAAACATTCTTTTTTTCCTTTCTGATATTCGACAAAACAAAAATAGTTTGATTTAAAATGTATAACAATACAAGATTTCAAAATACTTGAGTCGGACAATTTCTTTTCTATAGAAAAACTTTTGAACAACCCTAAATTGTTTTTTTCTAATGCACTTCTAGAATATTTTAAAATTGCGTCACATTGATTACCAGTTAAATGATTAACAATTATTTCTTATTAGTTATATTTTATTGTATTTTAAAATATAAGTTTTTTGAAAAAACTATAAAAGATGCTGTAACTTATATTTTAATAATCTTGTTTTTATATTTTTATTTCGTTTTGTGAGATTAAATTGTAAATATATTATAGAGTTCTTTTTCTCTTTTGTTTAATTTGACTTGTTGATTTTGTCAAAAAAAAATGTATAATATATATTCAAATGCCTGTAATTTATAAAATCTATTATTTTATTTATTTAAATCTGCGTACACAAACAAGCACAGACACACAAACACAGCTGCACACACTTACACAGTGGCACATAGACGCACAGTCTTGATGAAACAATATTTAGTTGTTTTTTTTTTTTAATTTTTCACATTTTTATTTTCATTTGCATTGTTAAATTTATTTTTTTCATGCTCAAATTTTATTTTGATTTATGAGATATAAGTCAAGATAAAAAGTGAGTAAAAAGAGGTATGTTAATTAAGTTGCTAATTATTTAGTTATAAGTAAAAAATTACAAAATGATATTTTACTTTTATTTTTTAAAATTTAAAAACAGTAAGTTGACATCAGAAATAGAGAAAAAAGTAATAAATAAAAACTACAGGGACTTCAACTTAATTGAGTTAAAACTTCTATTACAAAAAGAAACAATAAAAGACAAAACAAAATAAGCAAACGTGCTCATACAATGAGCACGTCAGTAGAATGATACACAGGTGGTGCTGAGTTAATCATAATTGTGGTTTTTTAATAAAAAAATTTTTTTACAAAAAACAAAAAGGTCTGGTAGATTTTGTAAGATATAAAATTCAATAGGTAAAAATTTACTTTAAAAACCTTAAATATTTACAAAAGATAATGTGACTTAATTTTGCAACAGACAAAATATTTAGCATCAGAAGATGTTAGATGAGCCATTAAATTTTTCCTTTTTTTATGTTACTTTTATCTTAGTTTCTGGCTCCTTTTAATATAGTTTTATAATGTTAATTATGCAATAATTAACATTATGAAAAAAAATTTAAAAGTTATTTATTAAATACATTGACACAGAGTCTGTCGAATTGATGAAGTAAAAAGTTTCAAAAAATTATTTTATTTGCAATAATAAATAAATTGTTAATGTGTTTAACAAAAAAAGTTAAGTTACATACTTTTAATACAAAAAGAAAGTTGTAATGTAAGAGGTTAAATACTTTTAGCGCAAGAGGTTAGGTTATGTACATTTTTAAACTCATTTTAGACCATTGGCTTTGTGTTTATATAATGTTTTTTAATATGACAATTAGTTATGTTTTTTATTTTTTTCAGTTGATACTAATGTGATTAGTTAATATTAGTTACTGCTTGTATTCAAAAAAGTTTATTCATTTTTTATCATTTTTTTATAATTATTTATTTGAATTTAAAAAAATTTTTGTTCTACTTTTTGTATTTAAAAAGTAACATTCTAAATTATTACTTGTATTTTTTCATATTATACTTAATAAAAACAGTTAAATATATGTTAATCAAATTGAAACAATTTAAAAAAACAACAAGTGGAATGGGAAAATAATAGCATACCAAAATAATTTGAATATCGATAATGGCAGACAGACAAGCATCAGAGTTAGACGAAGTGCTACCGAAACCAACAAAAATATTTCTTACAAATTTTTTGCAAGGCAAAGATGAACTTGAAGATGTAAGTTTTTTTTTAAAAAAAACCAAACTAGTTGTTTTCATTTTTGTTTTGTTCGAAATAAAATTTTTTTTAACAAATAGTTATAGTTTACTACAAAAAAAAAAAAAAAAAAAGTAATAAACTTATTTTTTCATGTATTATTTTTAACTTATTATTATTAACTTATATGCGCCATTAAGGAACTTTATTTTATTAGGAATGCGGTGAGAAGTTAAAATGTTTTTTTAATGATATTTTGTTGAAAATGATAAGTATTATAATTGTGGTAATATTTACTACACCACATATTTACATGATAGAACAATTGCACCACATGTTTACATGATAAATTACAATTACATCACACATTAATGTGACAGGTCAATTACACAAGACTGAGGCAGTTGTAAAGAATCCTTTTAGGCTAATCAAAGTTTTTAAATAAAACTTTATACTAAGCTAAGGTAAAGCTAAATAAAGGTTTGATCAAAATAGGTACATAAGGTTTAAAGTGTCTCTTAATTTATGAATTTTATTTTAAATAACAAAAACAATCAGTTCAAACAAAATTTTTCAAATAAATAACATTAAATTTTGAATGTAAAAAAATTAATGTTCAATGTTGTATATGCTATATAAAATACTTTTATTAACACTTTTTTGTATAGAAAAAAGTGGTGAAAAAACCTAAACAAACATTTTTTAATTTTAAGTGTAAAAAATCACTACATTCTTAATAATGTCAAAAAAGATCAAACAATCACATATATTGAGATCTCAAAGTAAACAATTATTGAATAAAAACATCCAACTTTATTTAAAGCAGTGAGTCTGCTGTCAATTTTTAAATATTTTTAGTAATATATAAAATTTTAGTTTTATATCAACATCTGTTTAGAGATTGGAAAAAAGCCATGTTTTTGTGTCATCTTTAGTGATAGGACTTTCAGAGCGTGAAATTCATGATGCTCTCATTCAAGCTGTGAGTAATTAAATTAATTAAAAATGTTTTTAACTCGACTCTGGAAAAAAAAAATTTCTTTTAATAAATATTCAACTTTTTTCCAGGTTTGTAAAGGAATAAAAGAGCAAGAGGATATCTATCTTGGATTGTTGTACACAATACTCACTGATCAAATAAATGCTCCCAAGGTATTTTAAGTACAAAATATGTTGCTATATTTTAAAATGAATTTAAAAATACAAAATGAAACTAACAAATATATTTAGGCATACAGAGATCTTTCTTTTGTTTCTCGTGATGGACTGGGTAGTGTGGTCAACAAGATTCATTGCATTTTCTCAGAAAAGTTCAGTAAATTATTAGAGCTCCCCAAAGCGCAGGTATGATATTTTTCTATTGTAAAAGGTGTTGTCTTAAAATATCAATATGTTTTTTTTTATTAAAAGATAAAAACTCAAATTTTTTGTAACATTTTTTGTAACTCATTTTAGCTAAATGGTTGACAATAAGTTGTAATTTCATAGTTAAATGGTTAATGGTGATAATGAGTAAAATATTTAACAACTAGTATGTCTAGTGTAATTCTAACTAATGTCTAGTGTAATTCTAACAAATAACTAAGACCTTATAGATTTCTCTTCTTTTATTCCAGTAAGAGGAAGATAAGTTACTTTTGTTTTGCTGCTTTATTTCGGTATAAGGCAGATGAGCCTTCTGCTTTTTTTATTTAGTATAAGGTAGTCTTGTTTTTTCTATTTAAAAAACATAATAGAAAAGAAACTCTGAAATAGAACTCCACTAAGTACAAGAAAAGAGAAATTTACCTCTTTTATACTCTTGCTATTTCTATAAGATGTTTGAAGTTTTAGAGATGGTGTCTCGATAAAAATACTCATCTTGGGCAGATGTTACATGCATCCAGCTGCTGTCTTGTAGAAGGCCTCCTAGGCAAAGACTTAAGGGGTAAACAGATTCTATCTGTTGACCAGCCTCGCACCCCTTCCTCATCTATTAGGCTGGCGCAGATGTATTTTTAATACATTGTTTCCAGTTTAGGATGTTGAACGCTGGATCTTCTTGACTCAATGCGTGGGTATTGCTTGTGTCTCTATTTTTATGACTGGGCAACTCATTCTATTATCTCCTAATGAGGGTACAGCTCTAAAACTCAGTTTTATGGTTCTGAGGCCGGCTGGTAGTCAGGTTTCCCGAACTCTGTGGTAGCTCTCAGAGAGGCTGATTCCATCAACAGCCGAAAAATATCAGAGTACTAACAGTGCCATGTTGCGCATGGATGGTGTCCCTGTTTGTACTTTTGGTGTGCATTGCAGAGGCCACATTTGGAGCCCTTTGTTACGGCTTAGGGTTTATTAATAGTAATGAGGCTATTGCTTAGTTGTTAAATAGTGTACTGAGTACTATCTACACTTGAGTCAAGTTCTTTATAAATTTAAAATGACTAAAGTACCTAAAACTAAAAAGCACAAAAAACCATCTTCATCACCAAGTTCTCTAAACCTATCATTTACTAATATTCGTGGTCTTCGAAGTAACTTTTCTTCTGTTGAGTCTTATCTATTGCAAAGTTCACCAGACCTACTTGCTCTTTGTGAGACTAATTTGAGTTCGGCTGTCCCATCTTGTGATCTTAGTGTTGATGGTTATCTTCCTTTAATTCGTAAAGACTCCAATAATCACATGCTTGGCCTGGGCATCTACATTCGTAAGAACTCACCCATTTGTCGTGAAACTAGGTTTGAATCTACAGACTATTCATTTATGTGCTTTCGTTTAGCACAACTTCACTCTATCGCCTTTCTCTTTGTTCTATATCGCTCTCCTTCATCCCTAGATTGCACTATTCTTGATGTTATTTCTGATCAAATTGACCAAGCCCTTTCTCTTTATCCATCGGCCAATATCGTCGTTGTTGGTGACTTTAATGCCCATCACACCGATTGGCTTGGCTCTAGTGTCAGTGACTCTGCTGGCGTTAAGGCCCTCAACTTTTGCCTTTCTCAATCTCTAACTCAAATAGTCAACTTTCCAACTCGTTTTCCAGACAACCCTAATCATTTACCTTCTCTACTCGACTTATGTCTTGTTTTGGATCCTAGTCAGTGCTCAATTTCTCCACATTCACCCTTAGGTACTTCTGATCACGGTTTGATCTCTCTAAAACTATTATCAAATTCTTCTACTTCATCAGAATCCCCCTATCATCGTACCACATACAACTACCTTAAAGCTGACTGGGACTCTTTCCGTGATTTTCTTCGTGATGGCCCTTGGGTAGAAATCTTTCGTCTTCCTGCTGACAAATGTGCTTCTTACATAACTTCGTGGATTCAGGCTGGCATGGAATCTTTTATTCCCTCTCGACGATTCCAGGTCAAGCCTCACTCTTCTCCTTGGTTTTCCTCACATTGCGCTGCAGCAATTTCTAATCGAAACCGTTACTTCCATATCTATCAGCAAAACAATTCTCCAGAAAACAGACATCTGTTCACTATCGCCAGAAACCATTGTAAAAAGGTTTTGTCTGACGCCAAAACTCGGTATTCCCAGGTCATTAAATCTCGTATCTCATCACAAAAATTAGGCTCTCGAGACTTCTGGAGAATCTTTAACAGTATCAATAATAAGGGCAAATCTGTTATTCCTTCTCTCTTGTATGGTTCAGACTTTGTCACCTCACCTAAAGACAAAGCTGAATTGTTTGCTAAGAACTTTTCATCAATATCATCTCTTGATTCCACTAGTTGCGTTGTACCTGACATAGCCGTCAAACAGGTTGATCCCTTGCTTGACATTCGCATCACTTCAGCTTCTGTATCTAAAGTAATTTCCTGCTTAGACTCTTCAACAGCTTGTGGTCCTGACAACATTCCTGTTGTAGTTTTGCAGAGGTGTTCTCCGGAGCTTTCATCCATACTTTCTAAACTATTTAACAAGTGCTTATCAGAGTCTTGTTTTCCATCATGCTGGAAAGCAGCATCTGTTATCCCTATTTTCAAAAATTCCGGAGAGCGATCTGATTCATCTAACTACCGTCCCATTAGTCTTCTTCCTGTCATAAGCAAGGTTTTTGAATCTTTAATCAACAAACACTTAATCTCTCATCTTGAATCAAATAACTTACTTTCTGATCATCAATATGGATTTCGGTCTTCTCGTTCTACAGCTGATGTGCTAACAGTAATAACCGATAGGTTTTACCGTGCATTAGATAGAGGTGGAGAGGTTAAGGCTATCACACTTGACATTTCTAAAGCTTTTGATAAAGTTTGGCATGCTGGTCTTCTCCATAAGCTTTCTTCTTATGGTGTAGC